CCCCCCCTCCCCCCCACTCCCCTCCCCTCCTCCTCTCCCCTCCCCCCTCCCCTGCTCCTCCCTCTGCCCTCGGCTCCGGGAAGAGGTCCCCGTAGAGTTTCAGCACGATGGGCTGCTTGTCCCGGAAGGCACAGACCATGTCGTAGGCCAGGACCACATGGCCCGCATGACCATGGACCAGATGCCGGCCTATCGGCCCCAAAGACCCCGCTGCCGACCTGTCGCAGCGCGAGCTGGCCTCGGGCGCTGCGGCCCCGTGCGGCCAGCGGGCCCTGCTGAGCGATGAGCTCCCGAACATCATGGGCCGCATCTCCGCCTCGCCCGTGCTCGTCGATGTACCTGGCGAGCCAGACGGGACTGCTCAGGAGATTAGTCATGCCGATCAGCGCGACTCCCATGCTGCACACGCACCACTTGCTACTTGGCCCGCCTACGCCGTCGTGGTCGACATGACCTGGCCCACGGTGAAGCTCGGCAGTGCTCGCCCCGCGCTGCCGTCCTGGACGGGCCCGTCCAGCGGAGCTGCCACAGGAGGCGAGCCCGCCGTCCGAATCCGATGCCGCCTCTTCCACCTCCGCCTCCACGTCCACCGCCGCTTCTGCTGGCGCCCCGACGTGGGGGCCAGGCTCTGCAGGGCTGTCCGGCGAGAGGAAGAGAAACGGCTGAAAGGGCAGCACGGCTCAAGGGGCACCCCTGCAGTCGGCCCAGACCAGCAGGTCGACCCTGCCAGGTCAAGGGTACCCTCGTGTCCTGTGTCTCGCGACCCATGCCTCCTACCTTCCTATGTCAGCGTGCCCCTCGGAAAGGGTCCTTTGCCCTCTCGCGTGTCCTCTCCAGTCAAGCCCGACTGCACTCCCCTCGGGCACCGAGGAGAACCGACCTGCGCCTGCAGAGCGCGACTCCTCGGGCCGCGGGTTCTCGCATGGCTTCTCCTTGTCCCTCGTCCTCGTGCGCTCCGGTGCGGGGGGGGAGAGAAAATCAAAGCACCAGGACGCGCCAGCGTTTCAACCCGCAGGTTCAGGCGAAATCCGCTGGCCTATGCTGTTAGGAATGTCGATCGGAATATTGCTTGCCTGCCGTGACTGTAATGCGATCGGAATGCTGCGCGGCCGAACGCCAAGGGTGCCCTCGAGGGCAATGTCGTTATGTGCACGGGTGCGTTGGGCCCGTTCATATCTCGGTCGCGGGCGTGCTCGCCTTCTCCGTCCCCCCGCTCTTGGCGGCGCCGCCTGCGTCATCGTCCGCCGCCCGTGGATCTCGCGCGCCCTCTTTCGGCCAGCTTCCGACCTCCCCCCCAGCACCGCTTCCCTGCCTCCCTGCATCCCAGCGGCCTGTTCCTCACTTCCCCTCCACCCTCCCGCTCTCACCCCCCCCTCTCCCCCTGATTACTCGTCCCCCTCCCCGACCCCCCGACCCCTCCACTGCACACTTGACACTATCAAGATGGAGGCTCGAACTTGCGGGTCTACGCCCACAGAGCCAGACCGAAATCGGCAACGACAGCTGCCGCACAGGCGATGTTCGCTGCCATGTTTACCTTTCGGCATGAAACCGACGTTGAGGCCTGCTCGAAACTGGGGGGAAGGAAGACGAAGGGACAGCGGAGGGGAGCGTGCCCCCGTGCGCTGAGCTCCAGCCGCGAGGACGTAAGAGCCTTGCGAGGGAGCTCCACACGAGCCCTCGCTCTAACACTTCAGTCCAGCCTGGCCTCTGGGAAATCAGCTTGTTGTGGGATTGCATGCTGGATGAGGCGGTCATTAAAGTGCAAAACCAAAAACTTCACACAGGCCAGGCTGCGGGTTGTGAAGACTACTTGGCGGGTTCCCCTGATTCCTCAACACCATCCTCCTCTCCTCCTCCTCTTCCTCCTCCTCCTCCGCCTCCTCCTCCTCGTATTCCTATTCCTCCTCCTCCTCCTCATCCTCCTCCTCCTCCTCCTCCTCCTCCTCCTCCTCCTCCTCCTCCTCCTCCTCCTCCTCCTCCTCCTCCTCCTCCTCCTCCCCCCGCCTCCCTCCCTCCCTCCCTCCCTCTCTCCCTCCTTCTCCCCCGCCTCCTAGCCCGTCCCTCCTCCTCCCCTCCTCGGCTCCTCCTTCCTTTCCTCCTCCTCCTCCGCCTTGCCTCCTTCCCCTTCTCCGCTCATCCCCGTCCCTCCTTCCTCCTCCTTTTTTTTCCTCTCCTCATATCCTCCTCCTCCTCCTCCTCCTCCTCCTAAGCCTCCCACGCCAACGTTGTTGGTCGAGGTGACCTGGGACATCCCGCCCCTTGAACCGCCCCAGGCAAATACGGTGGGAAGGGAGCCCACTTGCCCCCGTTAAGGCGGGTTTCATGGGGGCTCTAGTCCACGTCAGGCGGGCGCCGCATGGGTGCCTCACGGGTCCATCCGCTCCTGCCGGAGGGCTCTCCTCCTCCTCCTCCTCCTCCCCTCCTCCTCCTCCTCCTCTCCTCCTCCTCCTCCTCCTCCTCATCATCATCATCATCATCATCATCATCATCATCATCATCATCATCATCATCATCATCATCATCATCCCCCTCCTCCTCCTCCCTGTCCTCCTCCTCCTCATCCTCCTCCTCCTCATCCTCTTCCTCCTCCTCTGAATAATAATATGTTTCTCCTCCTCCTCCTCATCCTCTTCCTCCTCCTCTGAATAATAATATGTTTCTTATCCGTATTAGGAAGTATAGCATTAGTATTATCATCAATCGTACTAGCATTAGTAATGTCAGTAGCATTAGTACGAGTATTATGTTTAGGAGTAGTAGTAGTAGTAGTAGTAGTAGTAGTAGTAGTAGTAGTAGTAGTAGTAGTAGTAATAGTAGTAGTAGTAGTAGTAGTAGTAGTAGTAGTAGTAGTGGTGGTGGTAGTGGTAGTAGTAGTCATAGTAGTAGTAGTAGTAGTAGTAGTAGTAGTAGTAGCAGTAGTAGCAGTAGTAGTAATAGAATCATTGGTATCATTTATAGTATTGTGAATGGCATCTGTGTTACTAGTATTAGTATGATTGGTAATAGTATGGTTAGGAGTAGCATTAGTATTATTATGGTTGTTGATATTAGTGGTAGTATTAATATCCGCCGTAGCATTCTCAATCTGAGTCGAAAATGCTTATTCGTGTTAGTATGAATAGTTTTCGTAGTGGTCGCCTTCTAATTGTTCATAGTATCATTGTCATTAACATGAGTGCGATGCTGCGTATTATGAGTAGTTGTATCCTTCGACTTATTGTTAGTGGTAGTATTCCTAATCGTATCATTTTTCCGATGTGTGAATCGTATTTCATTACTCGCTTGCCTCGTCTCACCATTACTCTTAAGTCGTATCAGTACTATTGTTGGTAGTAATGGTAGTAGTCGCAGTGGTAGTATCAGTATTATTAGTAGCATTATGATGTGGCTTGATATTACTCGTAAGATTCTTCTTATTCTGATAAGTAGTATTAGTGCTTTTAGTATGTATAATACTAGTTTTGCTCTTGTGATGTAGTCGTATTCTTATTTTGCATTATGTATTCATATCCGTGTTATTATTATTAGTCTGCTTACTACTCATAGTATTATCAGTCGTGGTCTTAGTACTAGTATTACTAGTGTGAGTGTTATTATTATTATTAGAACTATTACTATTAGTAGTATTATTAGTATTACTATTCTTATGGTTGTCACCAGTAATACTAGTATTACTTTTATTCCGCCTCCTCCTCCTCCTCCTCCCTCCCTCCCTCCCTCCCTCCCTCCCTCCTCCTCCTCCTCCTCCTCCTCCTCCTCCTCCTCCTTTTCCTCCTCTGCCCGTCCCTCCCCCTGAGCCTCTTTCCCTCTGCCATCTGCCCGCTCCTGGGGGAGGAGTAGGAGGTGGGGGATAAGGACGACGACGACGACGATGAGGGAAAGAGGACAAAGAAGAGGTGGAGGAGGAAGAGGGAGGGAAGAGGAGGCATCGGGGGGAGCATAGAATAAGAAGAAGAGGAAGAAGAAGAAGAAGAAGAGGAGGAGAGGAGACACGAGGAGGGCAAGACGGAGGGGGCAAACGACGACGACGACGACGACGACGCCATCAACAACGACGACGCCCACGGCGCAGGCGAGGGCCGCCGACGGGGGGCGCCGAAGGCCGACGAGGACCGCCGAGGGCCCGCCGCTGCGTGGGGGGGGGGAGCGCACCGCACGGCTCCCGGTCGAGCGTCTCCCCCGTGTTCAGCGCCGCGCCCGCGCGCCCGCCCCCGGAGAACCACCCGCACCCGGTGGGGCAGCCTGGCCGCGGAGGGCCCCCCGAGATCTGGGCGCCCTCGCCGCCTTCGAGCCGTCGTCGTCGTCGTCGTCGTCGTCGTCGTCGTCGTCGTCGTCGTCGTCGTCGTCGTCGTCGTCGTCGTTTGCGTTTCGGGCCCCGAGGCCCTCACGGGTCGGCGCGGCTCGGAGCAGGGCGCAGAGCGATGGGGTCCAGGGCTCTGGGCGTGATTTTTTGCGGTGTCGTGACTGTTCGTCGCGTCGGATCTCGGGTGAGGGCGGGGGGGGCACAGAATGGCCACCTCTGCTCCTCCTACTCCTGCTCCTCGGAGGCCTTCGATGCAACAATGGGGGGGCATGCCAATGGCCAATCCCCTCCCGACACAAGTTTCTGGCAAGTCTACCTACCCAACCGTCCACCCTGCTCTCCCAGCGCGCACACATCGCCCTCCTTGATCAGACGCTGCACGTCCTGAGAAGAAGAAGAGGAGGAGGCGGAGGAGGAAAATTAACCTGCGGGCGCCAGCGTAGCAACACCAAAAAACACCCAAGGCACCACAGCTTGGCGTGGTGCTGATGCAACCGGCACTGGCTGGCCAAGAAGGGAGGGGCTCAAACCTCTCGAGTATGCATAACAATGCACACACCACACCGTGCTTAGAAGTAGGCGGGTCATACCCTAAGCAACACGAAAACAACAGAGTCCGCGCGCCACACCCCCTGGGCTCCGCAACTCCCGCAGCAGCTGTGCGTTGCAACCACGGACTCAGATGACGACACCACCTGTGGGTGCCGCCCCAAGCCACCCGCCTGTCGCTGCAAATCGGGGACTCTGGAACCGCCTCGAGCACCGTGCGGGGCACACGGTGTGAGTGCTGCACGCGGCCCAAAACCATCCCCACGCATGTGGCACGCACCCATAAGCCTCCCCCACCAACGCTGTTGGTCGAGGTGACCTGGGTTATCCCGCCCCTTGAACCGCCCCAAGCAAATTCGGTGGGAAGGGAGCCAACTTGCCCCCGCCAAAGCGGGTTTCATGGGGGCTGTACTCCACGTCAGGCGGGCGCCGCATGGGTGCCACACAGGCCCATGCGCACCCGCCTGAAGGCTCTCTTCCACCTCCCCTCTTCCTTTCCCGCCTGAGGGCTCTCCTCCTCCTCCTCCTCCTCCTCCTCCTCCTCCTCCTCCTCCTCCTCCTCCAGTCTCTTGCCAAGCATATCCATATTAGTGCAACATACAAGCAATTCCTTGTACACCCGCCTCAGACTCGCCTGGCAACGGCTGTGCCGCGCCAAGGTCGCCGAAAAGCAGTTGACTGCGCAACTTCCTTTGGTCTCCTTTCTCGTCCAGGACTGAGTATGCCCAGTCTTTCGGGCACCCCTGGTCCAGTCCG